ACAGCTAAGGCACAGTTTGACATAGCTCTCCCTTCTATGACCTCTTGAGTTTAGCTATAATGTTGTTCATAAATGTTTAATTCTGGATATTGGCTACTTTGCAGTGCTATGTCTATAGCTGATTGCTCATGAAAATGCACAAAATATAAAAACAGTACTGTCAGTTATTATTTTTAGAAATTTTTTTGAGTTTATTCAACCCCCATACAACTGATACCATAGACAAGAGCCTGTTCATGCTGGACTATTTCTTTGGAATGTCTGGAGAAGGGAGATGAACATGCAAAGCAGAGATTATAACACTTATGAAAACGAATATGAATTTATTAACTGTAAAATACCTAGACTGATTACAGGAAAATGAGATCACACTCATATTTTCAAAGATGTGTTTAAAAAATCAAGATGCTTTTCATGGTCATATATCTTTTCAGCAAGACGTGTGAAATTGATGTAACAGTTTTGTGTTACTAGCCTGGAAAATTAAATGGAATTTGATTTTCCATCTATTGCAATATTGCAAACGTTTTAAGAAACTCATAGAATGTTGTGAACTGAAATTTTATTCTAGTAGGAAAAATGTTGAATATTGTCCAACAGTACTATTTAGCTTCGTGCAAAAGTACAAAGACAAAATCAAGATAAAGATTTTAACAATTCTTACATCAAACCATGAAAGACTACATGCATATTTTAATTTTCATGGACAGGAAAAAACATTGGAAATACTGTTTACCAAAATGCACATGCTATTTCCAAGCCCTTTTTTAAGTATGTGTTCCATCAATATGGTACAGTGATAGGCATACAGCAAAGACACTGTGGGCCCTTGTGAGTTGATTTTGTATAAACATTTTTAGATTTTCAGTTTTATCCTAACCTTATCACTGGCAATTATTACAATGTATGAATATTTGCTAAAGATGCAGCTGAACCTTTGAAGATATGAATATGGATGCTGCCACTGTTGACTTGTTTTCAAAGAACCTATCATCTTGATCCTGGCTGCACATCCTATTCAGTCACTGATCCGGAAAAAGCAAGTCACCAGCAAACCGTGACACATCTAAACTCCTGTTTATTGACGAACAGCCAGTATGTTTGTAGATAGATATAGGTATTGACAACATTTTTTAGAACGTCAGATATGAGGCTCCACTTGCTGCAAATAGTCCTTCATGACCTGCATGGCCCCTAAATATCACAAACCGTTTTGGCACTGTGCTATCATTTTCAACTTCCTGTCTATATGAGGTTAGAATAAGGAATGGGTGTCACTGGGAAACACAAAAAAAAATAACAACATTTCTAATCCATCCCCTCTCTAGTAGAAAAAAAAAGTTTATGTTGCTGTTTCTTTCTGTACTGTAGAGTTTTTCTTTCATCAAGGCAGGAAGTGAGTAGAAATCTTCCAAGTGGGGACACAACTGGCAAAAAAACCTCAAAGAGATTCTAAACATTCTCCACTCTATCTAAAACCAAATTTTTTTAGGAGTTGGTTGGGCTTTAACTGATGATTGTTACAAGCTTTGTCATAGAAGGGAATAGATAAATCTCAGCTTTGCAGCAGCAAGAGAATGCCTATGTAGTTAAAGGAGTAGTACAGCCGAAGCTCATTTGGCTGTACTTCTCCTGTGGATCACAGGAGTGAAGTTCGTTCTGCACTCCTGTGGCCCGTTTTCATCTGACAGTGGGTTAAAGTTCGCTATCGACTGATGTCACTAAGCCGGTCCAGGCTGGGGAAAGATCCTGAACCTGGTGAGTCATTGCGAGCCGCTCCCACCCCCTTCACAGCCCAGCAATCCAGTGAGCACTGGGGGGGGCAGAGAGAGATCTCTGCTCTGAGCGGCAGGGAGAACTGAGCGATCAGAGGTGTTTGATCGCTCAGTTATCACCCTTAGAACTGCCGGGGAACAGATGCAGCATCAAAGCACTTTTCAAAAGTGTACCGTGCTAAGTTGCTTAAAGTTTCCAAAAACTTCTGCATGCTTTACTGTTGGCTGTAATTCCTCTACACTGAAGTCGGCACTGAGACGTGACTGGATCAGAGCAACTTCAGAATAGGTAAGTATAGACATCTTTCCTTTTACAGGACAGAGAGAATAGGCTTAGAACAGGGGTGGGAGTAGATTAAGCTTAGTTAGATTTTCACTTGCCTTCCGTGTTAACATTACTAGTTATCTTACATTGTTCATAATAGTACATGATCATCCTACATGATTGGTGCTGAAAAAAATCACCAAGTCCCTGTGCCTTAAACAAGCGGCGCCAGATTGCTGACATTTTTTACAAACACATTTGTGAATAATAATTTCTTTTTATAAAGATACTATATTTTAGATTTACTGTACTTTACAAAAGTGAGCTATGTCTAGCAATGTGATAAAAGCTGACTGATTTTTACTTTGAAAGCATTCTTACCAGTTGAGATAGTTAACTTCAGTCTTGGCGGCTTGGCACTATTTATGGAACGTGTAAACTATAGAGCACTAGAGCATTGGATGGTCTCTGGTATTCTTACAACACATCCAAGAAGTCATTTCTATTCATAGACACACAACAATGAAAGTTTTCTTATCGTATATTTTAGTTCTGGGTTGTATACGGCAGTTATTGTCCTCAATTTCAATGCACTTTGCAGTACTTTATCTTTAACTGTGTTATTACACATGAAAAGGACAGTCCAGCTGGGGTGTGGATTTGGGCAAACTTTATACTTCTCAGTGAGGAAGGAAAATATCACCGTATTAACAGGAGATCAGTAAAATGTGTCTTGGTGTTATTCCAAACCTCTATGTGGCAAAAATTGAAGGGAGGTGGCTATATATGAGTGCCAGCCATTATTGAATACGGATGATTTAACCCTACCCTGTCATAGTTTTCTGATTTCATACTGTTAATGACTGATATGAAATAGAATTTCATTTAGTTACACTTAGCAATAGTTTCAGGGAAAACATGAAATCAGAAGTAGGATAGATAATAGCATTTCATTAAATAACAAGGACTACATGAGCAGTATGGGGGCTGCCATTGCTGGCCTCCTTTTGAAAATGCTAGTTGCATGGCTGTGTGTCCTTGGTCAGTGGGGTTGATTTACTGAAGGAAAGTAGACTGCTTCCTTTGCAAGGGCATTTTCCTCAGAGGTTGGTGAATGTGGTAAAGTTTCCCTTTGCAAAGAATACCCATGTATACATATTTATGAAATGGCTGCCATTTTTCTGGTGGGACTGGAAATGGAGTTGTCTTTGCTGCTCCAGCAGATACTGCAGGTGGAATGGCAACTTTCATATTTAGGATTTATACATAATTCTTGCAATACAAGAACTTTCCAAGTGGCTGAGACTGTTCTAAAAGTAATCTCAAAGCCCAGTTGTGTGTGATGTATGACCATTAGATATCCCAGGACCTGGATGTCTGAAAACTTCATGAATGTATGACAGATCTCTGTTTATCAATGTTGGGACCCAGGCTTTAGTTAGCTGGGCTGTCTGCAGTTTTATGGATTCTGTATTAGAATCCCTCTATTATTGTTGCTCTAGCCAGCTTCTGTTGGTGTGTTCCAGAGGTTTGAGCTAGGATTTATAACATTTTTGGGAGTTATGAATAGTGAATGAAGTGGAGGCCTGGCTTGGGAGCATGCACACATGGGTGCCCCCTTAGCCCCTGGCTTGCAGGAGGTGGGAAATGCTGACAGCACCGGAAGGGGCCTACTAGAACAGAAGGTAAGTGACATTATGGTTGCACAGAGCAAGTTAGTATAACATTTTTGTAATTTAAAAAAAATGTTAAAACAGCCTTTAGTATCACTTTAACTCGTTAGTGTCCTACTCCTTTCATAGCCTGCTGCTTGTACTCCCCTTTTCTGCTCTAGTCATTTCACAGACTGAAAGGAAATCCATCTTAAGCTGTCCATACACTAGTAGTTTCAAACAATTTTTCCTTCAAACATTCATATGAAACTTCATATGAACATTCATGAGAAATTTCTCAGTGCATTCGATGACTTGACTTGAAAGTACTTCAAAGGTTTCTTTGCTTTTACCATTTGATTTTGGAGTGATGAAAAAAAAAAAAAAACACTCTTAGAAATAGTTTATTTCACAAAAAATTCCCATATGCTCCTTCAAATGTTATCATCGCCATGGTCATAAACAATGGTCGATTTGACCCCACTAACAATTAGAAAATTGAATTAATGTTCTTAAAATAAAAAAACATTTTGTACATTCCATTAGTGTATAGTCAGCTTTCTATGGGGAGGACTCCCCCCCATATGACAGCATCTAAGCCTGTCTAATGCATACTCTGGCCCCCAGCAGTGCATCATAGGGAAAAGGATAGAGAACTTAGTGCTTTCTGATATCTGGAAGTACTGAGTATTTCACTTTCTCTCTACTGGGTAAATATAGTAGTGGTAAGGGATTGAAAGGAAGGTAAACTTAAATAGCTACAGTTTCCTAGATTGAAGTTTTCTATTTTAACTCAGTTGTGAATAACTGCATTGTTATTTTGAGTGCATATTTTCATAATCATAAAAGAACATTTTTGAATAGGTTTTATTAAGCATGGGTTGCACACAAACCAGCATTTAAAAAGACATTTCACTGGAAAAAAATCTCAGTCAAAAGAAGAAATAAGTATAAATATTGCACTTAAAAATTTTCATATGTTACAAGACCATATTATTAATTACTAAAAATATATTTCTCAAAGTTTTCAGAAATGTATAAATAAAACAAATTCAAAAGTAGTCAGAACCTAGAACAGTTCAGTTTATGTCACTGGAATCTCGATGGGAGAAGCTTATTTGACAGCACCCCTTAGTGAAGGTGCTAATAACTACAATTTTAGAAGATGGCTGCCCAGTGCAGCTGTCGCTGTGCCGTATGCTCAGCATAAGTCAGTGTTCTCGATGGATTGAACTGTGGGTACATAAAATCTCCCTCTTGAAACAGGGGAAACACAGTCAAATTTGTTAAGAAAAACAGAAATGACGTCTAACATCTCTTATTTTTCAATGTGTTCAGCATTTTTTGGTTCTTCGTCTTGAAGCTCATGACAAAGCTGTTGGGAAAGACCTTTGCTCTGCCTTCTTCATCTACTTGACCCATGATAATATAATTCAAGCCTGTGGAGGAGACAGGAACACAAATTAGACTCACTTTCAAATCTTACTTGAAGATAACATACATGTTACATGTTGAGAAGTAAATCCTATCCCTGTGCTGATTTTTTTAATGCTCCTCCCAACCCCTGGAGGTTTGGATGTTTAAAAAAGAAAAGTTCTATGCAGTATTAAAAAAAAAGTAAAAGGAAAAAGCAACTTGCATTAATTTTGAGCCATCTCCAACAGTGCCTCTGCTTTGCCACAGAGTCCTGTGTTTACAAACAACAAAGGTCTCTGTACACAGAGCAACAACCTTGCTGCTTCTCCCTGCAAAGCAGGGTGAAAAAAACAGCCAGCTCTATTATTAAAAGCAGCACATATCACAGACATTACACATTGTTAGGCACACAGTTAACCCTTTGATTTCCTCTAGATGTCAACCCTTTCTCAGAGAGTATCATTAGTACAGTGACATTGTACAGTATTAGCACTTATCACTGTATTAGAGTCACGATTGATGTCAGTTTAGGTTAGTCAGTTAGTGTACCTCCCAGTCAGCATCAGCTAGTGCCAGACTGTAAGCTCCACTTTAAGTCGCTAATCACCACCATTACCAGGAGAGTGTCATAGCTGTGTAAATTCCATGGGACATGTAATAGAATACCTTTTTGGCCTAAATTTATGAAGACATTTGATTTATTTATTTTTTAATTCGATATGTTATATAACCACTGCAGAGGCTAAATGGTTAGCACTTCTGCCTGGCAACACTGGGGTTATTGGCTCGAGCCCCCAACCACAGAACCACCTGCCTGGAGTTTGCATGCTCTCCCTGTGCCTGTGTGGGTTTCCTCTGGGTACTCTGATTTCCTCTCACACTCTGTAGACACACTCGTAGGTTAATTGGCTTCTGTCTAAATTGGCCCTAGTATGTATATGTATGAATGTGAGTTTGAACGCTCCTTGAGAGTTAGGGACTGATGTGAATGAACAATATATATATATGTGCACTTCTGCGCAAATTCATGGCGCTATATAAGAACCTGTAATTAAAAAAACATTAAATAACAGAAAGTAGAAAATAATGTCTTTTTAAAATACATTTTCATTCTATTTTCATTTATATTGTTAAAAAAATAAAAAAAAACCCAGTGGTGATCAAATACCACCAAAAAAAGTTCTATTTGTGTGGAAAAAAAAATTATATAAATTTAATTTGGATACAGTCTTGCATGACCATGCAATTGCCAGTTAAAGTAGCGCAGTGATGAATAGCAAAAAATGCCCTGGTCAGGAAGCGGGTGAAAGCTTCCAGAGCTCAAATGCTTAATATCTCAAGTTAGCCATTAAAGGGTAGTAGTTAATCTCTAAAACGTTCTGCAATAAATCTTATCAAACAGATCCATTTTTAACTACCTGCATTGAAAAATATGTGTTGTCCATGAGACAGCCAGTCTGTGGGCAGATTCGACCTTGTAGGACCTAGTGACATTACTGATGCTCCTTATGGGATACCATCAGTTCTTTTAAAGCTGTATCTCTATAACCCATTCATGTTTTCTAAAATCCTAATCAAAACCATAAAATGGCTAATTCATATACCTACATGAAATTTTAGAAAACATGTTGGCTGAAATAAAAGATTAGAACAAAGCATCAAAGGGCATCTAAACCCAAAGAGTAGAGTTGTAAACATAGCTCCTATTTTGCTTTATAAATGTAGTTATGAAAGATTTTTATATTGTGTGAGTTAATGTACATGATACTGCACATGTTGATCCTGACACTGTCTGCTCTCTCTACAGCCTTTTAATAGGATGACCACCAGCCCAAAGTTCTGCAATACATGGACAATATTCAATTTACAATAAATATTAGGTGAACAATATCCCCTTAAAATCAATAATATATAATAATATATAACTAAGTCAAATAAAATATAAACCCCACAACTTCTCCACCCCCTCTCCTAAGTAAGATAATCCACAAATATACACAATATTAATACACATATATTAAATGCCGTGAAACTGAGAAAACTCCTGAACGATAACACCAGTGAAAAAATAAAGTGACATAAACACATGTAAACTTTACATGCCCTGGATAAACTGTTGTGAAATAAATAATAATGATCCCACTGGGGGATAAAGACAAAGTGAATCAGTGAAACTACTCCTTGTGGTAAACCTACAAAAAAAGAAAGAGGAATCAAATGAATAAACGCATGTATAAGATCAATAACTTGTGAATGAAAACAATGCCAGTGATCCCAATATGGGATAAATAAAGTGAATCCATGAAACCACAAATGTGGTAATTAAGAAAGAAAGAAAAGATCAGGCTCAATGCCTGTAAATCACTAACAATCACTATATACACAATAGTGACCCCCTACTGGGGATGGGTTTTACACTACAAAAAAAAAAAAAAATCGGCTAATTGACTTCAAACAATGCTTCACACTTTCCGTATATCCACAAACATATATATAATGACAGTGGATAATCCACCCACTAACATACACAAAAAAACAACCCCAAAAATATTAATTATCGTGTCCTAAAAAGTAAAAAAAATAAGTGTCCACTCTGTAGAAAGTGTACAGAACATCCAAATGGTGGAGGTGTTCTGTAGTTCTATAATCACCAAAATGTGCAATAGGATACTATGAATCCCACTCTAGGTGCAATGGCCCCTCACCTCCATGCGGTGACCCTGTAGGGTCAAAGCGCTTTAAACAATCAAACACCACCGGTCTGGAACCCGGACTCCCTCCAATGGATGTCAGGTCCACCGCCGTGTCAGTTCCCTCTCTGGTAACCAAAGTCCCACATACAGCCTCGTCTTGGTGGTCCTAGAAGTGTTAGCTCCTCATTCGCCCAGAAAGAGAATACAAAATGCTCCCATAGTGTTTATCCATTTGAGTTATTAAACGGTAATACACTATGGAAGCATTTTGTATTCTCTTTCTGGGCGAATGAGGAGCTAACACTTCTAGGATCACCGAGAGGAGGCTGTATGTGGGACTTTGGTTACCAGAGAGGGAACTGACACGGTGGTGGACCTGACATCCATTGGAGGGAGTCCGGGTTCCAGACCGGTGGTGTTTGATTGTTTAAAGTGCTTTGACCCTACAGGGTCACCACATGGAGGTGAGCGGCCATTGCACCTAGAGTGGGATTCATAGTATCCTGTTGCACATTTTGGTGATTACAGGACTACAGAACACCTCCACCATTTAGATGGTTCTGGACACTTTCTACAGATTGGACACTTCATTTTCTCACTTTTTAGGACACAATAATTAATATTTTTGAGGTTTGGTTTTTTGTGTATGTTAGTGGGTGGATTATCCACTGTCATTATATATATGTTTGTGGATATACGGAAAGTGTGAAACATTGTTTGAAGTCACTTATTTTCACGCTTATTTAGAACCCCCATTTGGGGTTACCTATCATGTCTATAGGCATTTAGCCTTTTTTTTTGTGGTGTTCACCCATCCCCAGTAGGGGGTCACTATTGTGTATATAGTGATTGTTAGTGATTTACAGGCGTTGAGCCTGATCTTTTCTTTCTTTCTTAATTACCACATTATTTATTTATTTATCCCATATTGGGATCACTGGCATTGTTTTCATTCACAAGTTATTTTGAGCTTATACATGCGTTTATTCATTTGATTCCTCTTTCTTTTTTCATAGGTTTACCATAAGGAGTAGTTTCACTGATTCACTTTGTCTTTATCCCCCAGTGGGATCATTATTATTTCTTTCACACCAGTTTATCCAGGGCATGAAAAGTTTACATGCGTTTATGTCACTATATTTTTTTCACTGGTGCTATCGTTAAGGAGTTTTCTAATTTTCACAGCATTTAATACATGTGTATTAATATTGTGTATGCAGTGGGGATCGAAAGTTTGGGCACCCCAGCTAAAAATTTGTATTAATGTGCATAAAGAAGCCAAGGAAAGATGGAAAAATCTCCAAAAGGCATCAAATTACAGATTAGACATTCTTATAATATGTCAACAAAAGTTAGATTTTATTTCCATCATTTACACTTTCAAAATAACAGAAAACAAAAAAATGGCGTCTGCAAAAGTTTGGGCACCCTGCAGAGTTAATATCTTGTACTGCCCCCTTTGGCAAGTATCACAGCTTGTAAACGCTTTTTGTAGCCAGCCAAGAGTCTTTCAATTCTTGTTTGAGGTATCTTTGCCCATTCTTCCTTACAAAAGTCTTCCAGTTCTTTGAGATTTCTGGGCTGTCTGTCACGCACTGCTTTTTAAGGTCTATCCATAGATTTTCAATTATGTTGAGGTCAGGAGATTGTGAAGGCCATGGCAAAACCTTCAGTTTACACCTCTTGATGTAATCCCCCGTGGATTTCGAGGTGTGTTTAGGATCATTATCCATTTGTAGAAGCCATCCTCTCTTTAACTTCAGCTTTTTCACAGATGGCATCAAGTTACCATCCAAAATTTGCTGAAATTTTATTGAATCCATTTTTCCTTCTACTCGTGAGATGTTCCCTGTGCCACTGGCTGCAACACAACCCCAAAGCATGATTGATCCAACCCCATGCTTAACAGTTGGACAGAGGTTCTTTTCATTAAATTCTGTGCCCCTTCTTCTCCAAACGTACCTTTGCTCATTCCGGCCAAAAAGTTCCATTTTAACCTCATCGGTCCACAGAACTTGTTTCCAAAATGCATCTGGCTTGTCTATATGTTCATTTGCAAAGTTCAAACGATGATTTTTTGTGGTGAGGACGTAGAAGAGGTTTTCTTCTGATGACTCTTCCATGAAGACCATATTTGTACAAGTATCTCTTTATAGTGGAATAGTGGACCACAACTCCAGTGTCTGCCAGATCTTTCTGGAGGGATCGTGCAGTGAAACGTGGGTTTTGAATTGTTTTTCTCACAATCCTGCGAGCTGTTCTGTCTGATATTTTTCTTGGTCTTCCAGATCTTGCTTTAACTTCCACTGTTCCTGATGACTGCCATTTCTTAATTACATTCCGAACAGAGGATATTGACATCTGAAAACGCTTTGCTATCTTCTTATAGCGTTCTCCAGCTTTGTGAGCGTCAAATATTTTCAGTTTCAGTTTTCTAGACAACTGCTTAGAAGAACCCATGGTGCTGATTGTTGGGGCAAGGTCAGATGAGTCTGGGCATTTAAAACCTTTGAGATTGACATCACCTGGTCTTCCCAGACGATGATTGAGAACAATCCATGACACTGGCAGGTCTCAGCTTGGCAAAGGGGGCAGTGCATGCTATAAATTCTGCAGGGTGCCCAAACTTTTGCAGATGCCATTTTTTTGTTTTCTGTTATTTTGAAAGTGTAAATGATGGAAATAAAATCTAACTTTTGTTGACATATTATAAGAATGTCTAATCTGTAATTTGATGCCTTTTGGAGATTTTTCCATCTTTCCTTGGCTTCTTTATGTACATTAATACACATTTTTAGCTGGGGTGCCCAAATTTTCGATCCCCACTGTATTTGTGGATTAATTATCTTACTTAGGAGAGGGGGTGGAGAGGTTGTGGGGTTTATGTCTTATTTGACTTAGTTATCTATTATTGATTTTAATGGGATATTGTTCACCTATTTATTGTATATTAAGTATTGGGGTTCACATATACTTTATTAGCGCAGCACCACATTTTACAATTCTGCAATACATGGTCTCCCTGTGTTCTCTCTGATCTGCAGCAGTCTATGCCCCATGCTGGCTGATTGACAGTTGTTCTGGCCATTTAGCAGCTGAGACAGGGACTGTAAATGGGTCTGCCCCTTATGCTGGACAGCTTGGCCCTTTTTATTTTGCTTATAATAACACTAGCTAAATTCCAGCTTATTTGTATAATTTTCTTTGCACAGTTACATTGGTCTAGCTTTAACCAATGTAAGTATACATAGCCAATCCCCGTGGAAGTGGAGAATCACTTTTGTAGCCGCCACTACTACAGTGATCCTTACTGTCTTCCAGGTCTCATGCTGAGTGCTTGCCCTGCTTCATAGTAACCATAAGGGGATGCTCGTTTGGCAAGGGAACCATTCAGAGAACACCTAGCATTTTTCTCAATGAAAGCAAAGCGTTCTCTGAGTGGATGAGGTGGAGATTGTGAAGTTACCATTCTGCCTCTCCACCTTGTCCTATGCATTAATTGAGAAAGATGAAAGGTGTGTATGGCTCCCATGCTGAGTGAGTGACCCCCTGTTACTATGCAGCAGGGAAGCCGCTCAGCACAGGATCTGGAAGACAGAGGATCACTGTAGTAGTATGGCCATGTATGGAATATCTATAATTACATTGGTCCAAGCCAAACAATGTAACTATGCAAAAAAACTATATTTGGAATTCAGCTTTAACTCTGCCCTGCTGGGTTATGTTTATTTGCATAAATAAAAGTTTAAAATTGCATTATGTAACTGACCTCTCCTGATCAGTGGGCACTGTTTGCACACCACAATGATCTTGACACTCATTGACTTTCCGGCCTGCTGGATGGCCAGTGTCCCTTCTTTGTAAACATTGATAATGGACACTGTTGCATGTACACTTCCACCTTTGATTACTGTAGTTATAACCATGCCAGTGATCACTGGAAGAGAAAAACAAAGAACATTTATATCAAGCACGTGTCTTAGTACAGTCAATGCATTAGAAATACTATTAATTCATTATGTAATGACATTATTTACATTATCAGCAAAGGAAGGTGATTTTAGATCAGTGGCGTCCCTAGGCGGGTGCGGGGGGTACGTGCCTAACCAGGTGTCACCTATCGCACAGAGTGACATCAGACACTCTCCACGAGCTCCACGATAAGGAAAGTTTTAAAGCAAGCCAATGAAGCCCGCAAGATGGATCGGATCTGAGGATTGAGCATATGCTCCCCAATTCACAGATCCGATCCATCTTGCGGGGATCGTCAGCTTGCAACCTATATGGGGTTAACTGATCTTGGTAAGGCTGTACAAGATCCAGGACTGGTCTGTAATCAGGAAATGTGGCTGCGATTGCAGCAACCTCCTCCATCTGACATCACTTCTCGAGCATGTGCAGACCGGACAGGTGTTGAAAGATCAGTTAAGCCTGTATAGGTTGCAAGCTGATGATCCCCACAAGATGGATCGGATCTGCAGATTGGGGAGCATAATGGATCGGACTCCGCCCATTATGCTCAATCCACAGATCCGATCCATCCTGCGGGGATCGTCAGAGGGGTGACACCAAGTGTTACCACACCGGGTGACACCAACCCTAGGGATGCCCCTGTTTTAGATCTCAAATTCAACATACATACTCAGCTTGTTAGTATTTTCATAGATATCATTCAGGAACAAAATCCAAAATCCAAATCAATGATAAACACATTTGCTTTAATCAGAAAGTCACATAATCAGAAATCTCCTGATCGGGAGCTTTCCAGTACAAGTTTGTTACTGTGCTGGGAGAGTGCAGGATACGCGCTCTCAGCACAGTAAATGTTTACATAGGGCCACATATATGCGGCCACTTAGCATTAATACCCACCCACTGAATGGCCACATATATGCGTACGGCCAGTTGGAAGAGGTTAAAAGTGTTGGAAGGACAACAGACTGAAAATACTTCTTATTTACCAAACTTTATTTAAATGTTGTTATCCATTACAAACATGTATACACCATTAAAATGAAGATGTTGAGGATCCCTATTTGCTATAATGGAATATCTAGATTGATTAGCTGACAAATGTAGTCCCACTGCATCCGGTGTGAATATACCCTAACTTACGATAAAGAACCCTTTACATAGAAGCATGGCCAAAGCCTTTTTGGTCATACTTCTCTTGACCCAGTTCAGGTTCTCTTTTTGCTATAATGGACCCCAACCCAAGTTACCCATAACATATATGGCATAAGTCTTTCCAAAATAGGTAGGAGGTCTTCGTATAGCTCTGTTGTGCCTCTACGCGTTTCGCAGGATAACCCGCTTCTTTAGGAGGACTTAAAGAGATACAAAATCTAAACGATTATAAAAAATGAAACACATTTTATACAATAGTATTACAACTCCAATATACCCATATATAGTATATGGTACGGTATGATATATAGGTATACTGGAGTTGTTTTATTGATTCACTTTGTATCATAGAATGACACAGAGTTTAGATTACATTAATATACAATAAATCTGCTTACAAAATCATTTTTGACATTGTGTCACCGTGAATCTGTATAACAGTATGGATTTGGTTTTCAGTGTGACAAACCTGTCCTTGTCAGCCAAAAATATACACGGTGTTCCAGCAATACAACATTCTGAATAAAGACCTTTATATAGTAACAGTTTACCTTCTGTCTGGCCATTTGTGTTTACCATGTTTGCCTGGGACAGATGTTTACGCTTTTCTCTCTTAAATGTCTCAAGGAATCCTTTGAGTCACAGACACTAATGCAAGACACAGGCGGGGCAGACTGAGTACTGATGCCAAACTTCAGCTACATTTTTTTGCCATTTCCCAACTTTCAAGCATACTCTCTTACTAACTCAAGTCACTGATTAAGTAGTAAAAATCAGGTAATTTCTTTTAACATACCAAAATTACTTGAACAGTAATTGCTCTCCAGGGATCCACTCCTTCTGCACTTTTGTAGGCAGAGTACAACAGTTGGTTTTAGACCTAGATAAAAAAAAAATCACCAATAAACAACTGCTAGTAAAGAAAACAATAGATCATACATTATATGATAAATAGATATTCAAATCCAGATAACTGAACAAATATAATTGTATTAATAAAATGGCTCTGTAATTAAGATTACAATTCTTAAACTGCCTATTCACAGTAAATTTCTCACTAAGAACAATAGGTGGTAAGAGGTATTTTCATACTGTCTGACTGCCTCATTTCAGGCACAGGCACTTTGAGAGGCTATTTTTCGTAGAGGAAAGGTAATGAATGGTAGCAATCTACATATCAAGGGCAGCACAGTGGCTAAATGTTTAGCACTTCCCCCTGAAAGTACTAGGGTCCTCAATTCAAATCCCAACCACGGCACCACCTGCCTGGAGTTTGCATGTTCTCTCTGTGCCTGCGTGGGTTTCCTCTGGGTACTCCAGTTTGCTCCCACACTCCAAAGACATGCTGGTAGGTTAATTGGCTCCTGCCTAAATTGGCCCTAGTATGTGTATGTATGAATGTAAGTTAGGGACCTTAGATTGTACACCCCTTGAGGGTTAGGGACTTATGTGAATGTACAATATATATGTAAAGCGCTGTGTAAATTGATGGCTCTATATAAGTACCTGTAATAAATAATAAATAAATATAAAGGCAAAATATACAGTTGCAAGAAAAAGTATGTGAACCCCTTGGGATTACGTGGAGTTTGGTATGAATTGGGCATACAATGTGCTCTGAACGTCATCTAAGTCACAACAACAGAAGAACACAGTCTGCTGAACATAATACTACACAAACATTAGATGTTGCCATGGTTTAATTGCACATAACATGTAAACATTTACACTGCAGGGAGGAAAAAGTATGTGAACCTTTGGACTTAATAACTGGTTGACCCTCCTTTGGCAGCAATAACCTCAACCAAACGTTTCCTGTAGTTGCAGATCAGACCTGCACAACGATCTGGAGTAATTTTGGACCACTCCTCTTCACAAAACTGTTTCAGTATAGCAATATTCTTGGGATGTCTGGTGTGAATCGCTCTCTTAAGGTCATGCCACAGCATTTCAATCGGGTTGAGGTCAGGACTCTGACTGTGCCACTCCAGAAGGCGTATTCTGTGCTGTTGCAGCCATTGTTTTGTTGAATTGCTTGTATGCTTTGGGTCATTGTCCTGTTGCATCACCCATCCTCTGCGGAGCTTCAGTTGGCGGACAGATGGTCGTACGTTTTCCTGCAAAATGTCTTGATAAACTCTGGAATTCATTTTCCCATCAATGACAACAATCCGTCCAGGCCCTGAAGCAGCAAAGCAGCCCCAAACCATGATGCTCTCTTCGCCATGTTTTACAGTGGGGATGAGGTTTTGATGTTGGTGTGCTGTGCCTTTTTTTCTCCACACATAGTGTTGTGCGTTCTTCCCAAACAACTCAATCTTGGTTTCATCTGTCCACCGTATATTTTGCCAGTAGTGCTGTGGAACATCCAGGTGCTCTTTTGCAAACTTCAAACGTGCTGCAATATTCTTTTTGGACAGCAATGGCTTCCTCCATGGTGTCCTCCCATGTACTCCATTCTTGTTTAATGATTTCCTTATTGTAGATGTGTCAACAAAAATGTTAGCATGTGCCAGAGATTTCTGTAGGTGTTTAGGTGACACTCTGGGATTCTTCTTTACCTCATGCAGCATTCTGCGCTGTGCTCTTGCAGTCATTTTTACAGGATGACCACGCCTAGGGAGAGTAGCAACAGTGCTAAACTTTCTCCATTTGTAGACAGTCTGTCTTACCGTGGACACATGAACATCAAGGCTTTTGGAGATACTTTTGTAACCCTTTCCAGCTTCATGCAAGTCAACAATTCTTGATCGTAGGTCTTCTGAGAGCTCTTTTCTGCGAGGCATGGTTCACATCAGACAGTGCTTCTTGAAACCAGTAAACCCAAAACAGGTGTGTGTTTTTTAAGGGCAGGACAGCTGTCAGCAACACATCCAATATCATCACACTGATTGGAGTCAAGGTTGGCTCACTCCTGGCTCCAATTAGCTCTGAGAGAAGTCATTAAGCTAGGGCCTCACATACTTTTTCCTCCCTGCACTGTGAATGTTTACATGTTATGTGCAATTAAACCATGGCAACATCTAATGTTTGTGTAGTATTATGTTCAGCAGACTGTGTTCTTCTATTGTGTGTGACTTAGATGACGTTCAGAGCACATTTTATGCCCAATTCATGCAAAACTCCACGTAATACCAAGGGGTTCACATACTTTTTCTTGCAACTGTATACTGGTGCTCTTTAGTCTTCCTAAGCCGGTTGACTGATTTGATCTCCACCAATATTGTAAGGAGCACTACATAATATACTCCAGACAGCTGCCCCCAATACACTATGTTGTACATTATATACTCCAGACACTTATCCCCAATACCCTATGTTGTACGTTATATACTCCAGACACCTATCCCCAATACACTATGTTGTACGTTATATACTCCAGACACCTATCCCCAAAACACTATGTTGTACATTATATACTCCAGACACCTATCCCCAATACACTATGTTGTACATTATATACTCCAGACACCTATCCCCTATACACTATGTTGTACATTATATACTCTAGACACCTGTCCCCAATACACTATGTTGTACATTATATACATCTAAATCATTAAAGCCTATACCTCTGATGTCCAACCAGTGACTATTTGGTACTTACTGTGTGGCTCTCGGGCCCAACAGTTAGTAGCCAGTGATTATTCACTGCCTTGGGGCATACTCAGACCAATTGCGGAAGAACATTTATGACTAGCTAGTTAAATGTTTTTTTCTCACTTGTTTGTGGAGGATGTAGCTCCTGCAGTACAAGTACGATACACGACAACCTGGAACTATATTATTATTGGCTGAGTTGTAGACAACGCTGGAGGCCTGTTCCATTAGAGGAAGTAAGTAAAGAGATGATGGTTCAGCTTAGCTTGAGTCCTGCTTAATTTATTATAAATATATAATTGTGTTTAAATTTCAGTTTGAGATACTGAGTTCTGTATACAACATGCCTTTTTTTTAACAAAGCAGAAAAGAAGAACCAGGAAAGTATGTGAAAAGCATTGGAATCTCTATCTGCTGGGTTCATATGAAAATGCAAACAATTCAAATGCAATAAGTAAAATTAACCTGTCTAAAAAACATAGAAAATTGTTTTACTCTTCACCATAATAAATAAAAAAACATATTTACAAACTTTTGTACATTCAGACAATGGTCAGTCTAATGGATAGCAATATTTATTTTTCTGTGATCTAAAAGCAAAGCTCCACATCATTTAGATTTTGATGTAAAAAGTAATCAACAATTTTTAAAAAGTTACAGTTATTTAGAGCTCCACTGAAATTTGAAAACTACAGTCACATGGCTATTAAAAAATGCAGAGTTTTGTAATCTGAGCTTAAAAGATAAGTTCACCTTTTGTAGTATGTTACATTCATAATCAGGGTTTAACATGTTACAATTGTACCGGCACCCACTAACCCAATCCGACAGTTAGTCACGTGTTGTCACTCGTTCACAGTATTCTGTGAATGGGAAGACTACAAGTCCCGAGAGCCTTTGTGGCTGTCAGCTTGTAGTTCTCAATGAACTACCACGGCACTGTGGAGTGCTGTGGTAGTTCATTGATTCTTCTTGTCTTTGTAAAACTGCCTGCCCATATGAGGTACGAGCACACAGATTACACTGACAGTCTGCAGGAGGCATGCATGGCACCAGCGATCTGCTGATCGCTGGTGCAATGCTTTCCAGGCTTCTTAAGCAAAAAACAGTAAATGTACATTTTTTTACCTGCAAAAAAATGTGCATTTATTATTTTTTGCTAAAAGGTGAACCTGTCCTTTGAGGAATCCTAAATGACATGTAGTAATATTCCAATTCCAGCATAAACAAATACATATAGGTTACAAAGCAGTACTCAACACGTAGCCATTTACCCTAGGGACTGGACCGTAGTGTATCATGTAGATACTGTCATATGTCCCAGGTCATTACAAGTACAACCTGACCTGGCTCTGTTGCTACATTACCTACAGCTATAATACTGTACATTTGAATTGAAAGAGTGCAATACTCTAGAAAACTCGGTCAGTTACTGCCAATCTCTTTGCAGATTTAGGAAATGTCAATCACCTGGCTTGGGTTTTAGGGCAACAATCTGGTAATAGGTTAAGGGTTAACATTACCTAGACAGTAGCAGCTAGGAATGAACTAAGCAGACACATTGAGCATGGTTTACTCCCCAGTGAGCACAATACTTTCCATATTACATCACTGCTAAAGATTCTAGTAAAGCAGAATGACTCACTCAATACTGTGACATTACAGACTGAAACAAAATAATACAGGCATATTGCATAAGCAAATAAATCATGTTCAGACATCATACTGATTAAAGTAACTGGCACACCTAAAATTGAACATATTGGATGAAGTAAAAAATAAAAGGGCATACACATTAAAAATAAAAGTGCTGAACTGTTTCATGTATAGCAACTGTCAATAGAAAAGTATTTGTAGTTAGTTTAGGAATTAAACATGTTGCAATTCAGTGAAGTGTATCCATTATATTTAACAAATGGCTGTATCAATCATCGTATACATATTAGGTATACTTATCAACCATCACATAGCATCCGGCAAGTGCTGGTTCTTAAGTGCAATAACGTATTGCAACCAATCAAAACCTATCTCGTACTGGTTTGACTAAATAACTGTACTTAAAGCATACCTAAAGTGATATCAAAATTTGTGAAATGACATGGGGTACTGCATAGCAGCTATGTTATGGTGCCTTCACACTAGCTTGACTATGGCATGTCAGGATGCCCCAAATCCTGCTATGTACAGTCAGGTCCATGAATATTGGGACATCGACACAATTCTAACATTTTTGGCTCTATACACCACCACAATGGATTTGAAATGAAACAAACAAGACGT